AATTCGAAAAACCTAACAAAAGTAGTGTGAATGTAACTTTGTGTTATTATTTATATTAAGCTTTGAATTATAACTGATCGAAGAAAACGATATACATGACATTACTAACCAAACAAAATTAGGTGGGAGCAAATTTAAATCTTCATTCAACAGACAAATGTTAGTAGTAAAACAAAACAAAGATGTATATAACCGAAATCAAAAAAGAAGTCTGCTCGTTAATCTTTTTTGAATAAATTCTAAATCTTTAATCGACTTTAATAAACAAGCTTCGAAGCTTATCGACTACTCAGTCACGTCAAATCAGTTAATTATTTATCTTAACTACACCTTTTACCGATCAAGGAGTACCTTGCGTAGACAACTGTTTATAAATATTTGTACATTTTTTGGTGATGGTTGTAGTAGTTCTCCACGTTTCAGCTCCGTATAGTAGGACTATCTGGACGTTCGTATTGAAGATTGTGACTTTGATATTGGTTGACTGATAGAAGTTTTGAGTTGCATATGTTTTACAACTGTGGGGATGCTACCCTTCCATTGCCAATCCTCGCTTTTACATCTGCATCCGATCCTCCTTGTAGGTCGATGATGCTGTCCAGATACGTGAAATATTCCACTTGTTCCAGAGTTTCTCCATCGGGTGTGACTGGCTGGTGTTTTCTGCGTTGTATTTGAGGATCTTGCTCTTAATCTTGTGTATGTTGAGGCCAACTGGTGCAGAGGCTGCTGTTGTGTGTGTGGGATAAAAGGGCTAGATCATCTGTGAAGTTCAAATCGTCTGGTTGATTTCGAACTGTCCATTGTATTCCATGCCTTCCCTCAGATGGTTTATGAAACTAGTTTATTTATAACCACTTGAACATGAGAGTCGACAACTGTCGGAATATATATAGTTATTTCTTCGCATAAGTGCTGCCGCAAAACATTAGTTTCGTGTCTTAGTTAACATGCTTTTAAGTAATGATGGATATATGTTACGCTTACCTATGCATCTGTCAGCTGTCCTCTATGCACGACGTTTTAGCGTATTCCGTCATATGAACTCCGTATTACAATGACAGTTCTCTCAGCCATTCACTTCCTAGTGTCGAAGAAGGTTCCATAAAGTTCACCTATCCACTCTGCCAAACGCCTCATAGTCAAGAAAGCTGATGATGTATAGTGACAAATTCTATTCAATTCATTTCTCAACAATGATCTTGAAGTTGGGTGTCGACTGAATCTTTCATCCGGTTCAACAACATTCTGTTGAAAACTTTTCCTGGTACCCATATCAGTGTGATACCTCTGTAGTCCTCACACTTACTCAGATCTTTCTTTGGTATCTTGCTGAAGTATTCTTTTTTCCAGTCTATCGGCAGTTATTACTCCCCCCAGATCTTCGTGAATTGAACGTGGAGCATATATGCAGTTATTTCTATATGCGACTTCAGTGCTTCAGCTGGTATGTTTTCACATCGTGTTGCTTTCCCACTCCTGATTTCTTCGATCGTTGGTGGGTTGACATCCACAGGAATGTCTGCTGCTTCGATGCTTGGTGGATTCAATGGAGCTGGCCTATTCAAGAGTTCCTCAAAGCGTTCTGGTCACCTATTCCTCTGTTTTTGAATCTCAGTTGTTGGATTTCCTTCTTTGTCCTTAAGTGGTCGTTCTGATTTACAAAATTTCTCTGCTAGTTTCTTCATTGTGTAACATAGTTGTCTCAATTTAAACATCATATCAGTGGATCACCGATAATTTGTGTTCACTAAACATTCAAGGCACTTATATTGTGATTTACCTGAAATGTTAGGATCAAGTTGATCTAGCTGCTCTGTTATGCAAACCGTCTCCAGCGTACCCAAAGCCTTCATCTTTTGGATTATTCAACACGATATTATGCGTACATTGATCACTCTCACTTGAATTTTGATGTGGAATGTTATCAAGGTAAATTATTAAATATATGCAACATAATCTGTCTTACAAAACACACAAAGGCAGTAATGACAGTAAAATATACGTGTCTTCGGACAGATAACTGTATAATCAGATAAAGCATATCTAGGGCTAATGACAAAGCTCTATTTTATTAATCTCCTCTTCTCCGGGAGCATTGGTAACAAAAGTATTTTTTCGATACCCACATCATTATGTTGCATCCAATGCGTCTTAACACCCCTTTAATTAATTTGTAATATATATATATATATATATATATATATATATATATATATATATATATATATATATATATATATATATAATTAGAGGACTATGAAGACAAATGACAGATAACGAATAAATTACCGGTGTAAATGTCATCTGCTGTTTATTCACTCTTTATTGAAATTCTACCGTACTATGTGGATCATTACAATAATAACTTGATTTGTTCACAATGCAACTTTTTATTTGAGAAACACGTAGAAAGAGAAAGTGGAAACTTAGGTTTTTGGAATGGATTAATCTGTTATCAATTTTGTCATGAATTGACATTAGCTGAGACACCATTGAGAAGAAATGGCATCGGATGATTGTCGTGATAAATTTGAAACCCACAGTTTAAGATTAAAGAGATCACTGCAAGACTTAGAGTCAAAGCTCTGCACTCCTGAAGAATATCATATTAGGACCAAATATGCTCAGTTTCTTGGGTTTCAATTGCACCCTATATTATATCCATCTGCGATCAAAACCTAACTACAAATAAAGCAAAACTTACCGGGATATTTAAAATCTGGAGGTATTTTGAACTAATGTGTGGAATCAGCTAGGGGACGACTGAAAGCCACAGAGCATTGCCGACTCCAGCCTAGTTTAGCACTCTTTATGCACTTATGTATTCAAAAGAACACAGAATATACATCTATTTTATATAGTCATACATACAAGCTGACCTACACATCCACATCACATTCTGATGGTTCATATGAGAAAACTTGAACCAACTCTTAATACCTGAAATTAAACTAATAGTCAAGTGGCGATTCTTGATGACAAATTTCTCTGCATTGTGTGATAGATATTTTCTTTTTTTACCTATCATTTCAGATACGAAGCCAGTTCAGTTCAATTTGTTAAGGCTATACACAAAGAATCTTTATATGCTTGGTCTAATAGTAATTCAATAATACCCAGAAATCTTATTACAACTATGCATAAGAATAATAGTCTATTAGCTAGACTTGGTTATACCAGTGGAAACATTCCTCCAGATTATGAAGAAGTGTGTGAAGTTGATTTAAAATTGTAAATAAGAATATCTTATTTCTTTTGTTCGTTTATTTATTAATATCTGTAAATTATGCTTGTAACCATATAGATTTATTTTCGATGTGTTTCTTGATAATGATTAATGGGCAATAATTCTACATGATTTGATAATGATATTTAGGGTTATAACGTTCGTGAAATTGCAAATATACCATACTGGGAAACGTTATTTTTCTTTGTGGGATAAGTGTTAATTCAATTCAAACGACAAAATATACTAGCATTGAAATGAGTACGTTTAATACTACGAATCGAAAATTTAATTGTAACTCACGTAAATCTTGAGATGATCAGATAAATGTATACAATAATATGACTATTTGTTTTTTCTTAGTGGTACAATTTAAGTAATTTACATGATAATCAGGTTCCAGTCAAACTGGAAATTGATTTTATTCGAATTAGCACCAGATGAAACCTCATACGGCGAAGCAGTGTTTAAACTCTTTTTGGAACTTGGTATTCATTAGTGGAATAGTAGAGTAGTGATAGTCATTTCAACGTTTACAATATACGTCTACACTCCATTAAATGTATAATACCATCATTTAAATCACTATCCAATTCTACTGAAACCTACTTATCGTTTACCTTCGAAGGCCGAGAGCATTTAGTTATGAAACATGGAAATTAGCCAGGAACAAAACGTTAATAAGTGATTTTTATCATTAATCAGTCCCAACAACCATTAATCAATGTTCAAACAGTGCAAATGTTAACGTTTTCAAAGGTATAAAAAAGCGAAATACGTTCATATATACATGTATTATATAGGTTCATGGCTCCTACTAACGGCTGTTAAGAAATATGAGACAACTGCTTACAACCAACTAATATCTAAATCGCTGTTAGTGTCCAGTAGAATTTGATATTTATGTATGATTGTTATTACATTTCAAAACACGCGAAAAGCATTTCTATCAATGTCTCAAATAGTACAACAAATAACATACGAGGAAATCGCTTTAAACAAATGGAATATTTTATTTTCAGGATTACGGAAACACATTAACTAAGCAAAATGAGTATGCCTACCACATTCACATAGTACTTGTAAGTATGGAGTTTAAAGTACAGGATTTTCGTGAGCAATGATCGAAACATTTATCAGGAAAATAATTTAGCCAAAACGATAGACTAATTTAGCCTAAAGACAATGTCCGAAGCACCGAAAAGAGATAATGATTCGATTATAAAAGATGAAAAATCATATCATACATATGAGTATTAGATGGCAGTGGATTATAACGTATCCATTGATTTACGTCAACTGTATAATTTATGCACCTTGTAAAATGAGTATTTGATGAAATTTCATGTACATTCATCGAAAAAATTAGTAATCCAAGTTAAACAAATCAGTGATTTCTTAGACAGATGCCACGTTTTGCTTTGACCGCCACTAACTTCTCCCAACCTAAAAGTTGAAGAGCAAATATCGCGCACTGGTGGCTAGATATACATGATACATGTTTCAAACAACATAGTCGAAGGAGATTCAGTCTTATCAACCGGTTTACATCATCGCCTAGTACACTGTGTCAAACTTCACCATTGCTTCCTTGATGGTCCCAACATACGTGAGCAATGCTTTAAAGACATCTACGAATATATTTAACATTTAAAAGCCATGTTCCACGGCCGTCAGCAAAAACAATTAAAAATGAATTATCTTCATAAAAAAGTATACACCTAGTTGAATTTAACCATGATTCGTAAATAGGCAGAAAACAACCGAACTACAAGAACTCAGTGGAAATAGTTCAAATTTATTGAATTTGAAATTGCTTAGAATAATGTTTGGGGATGACAAAAACTTTAAATACATCGAACATAGGTCGTTAGATGAAAAGGAAGAACATTGGACAAAGAGCAAATACAAATGCAATAGGTTCTCACATTTTTGCTGATACAGCCTTTTAGAACTCAGTTTACGTAGAAAAAAGACCAAGAATACAGCTGGTTTACAAAGAATGCAATTAAAAATACAATCATGTGAAAATGCTTAGTATTATGTCAAACTAAAATCTGAGAACGCTAAACTCTTTCTTGAACAGATGTTATTTCTTTGACTCAGAATGATCCGTTATAGGGCTGAGACGAGCAACGTTTTCAAGCCGAGTACGTGTACTCGATATAACATCGGTAGTATCCGCCACTATTATGAAAATACACGTAAGAAAATTTTTAAAATTTAAATCAAATTTCAAAGAATTGAAAGATAGGATAATAATGAAAATACGGTAGATAATCGAAATTATTTTTCCATATATCAATAATATAGCACGATGTAAATCGATAGTAATTCATTTTAGTCAGTACACAAAGTTACTAGTAATTTATATTGACTGTGAAGGTTCATTCGTACATATCCAATATGAGTAAATTGAACCTTATCGCAGAATACGTTCCAAAATGAAAGATGTAATTAGTATATTAGAGTTTACAACGATTTATAGGTTATCCCTTCCGTTCGTACACAGATAATCGGTAAGTCTAATTACTAAAATTATGAACGCTTGACCTCATTCAATAGCACTGTCGATCAACAATATAAAATTATGGACAGATTAGTGGTTGAATAGGACCAAAATATTAGTGTAATAAATATTGTCTTAGTTATTAAATAAATGAAGGGTGTAGTTGTTTCACCGATCTAAGTTATAAAGTAAAAAAAGTGGTGAACGGTGATATATAAATCCCAACTTACAATTTTTCGTTACAATATCCACACTTTGTATTAACTGATGATATTTACGACGATAATATTTTATTTCACTTTTTAATTTTTCACGTTCGCCTGAACTAAGTGATGATTTTACTTCTAGTGGACATGTGTTTACATCATCTTCTTTTCTGGTCAAGTTACATGCATTGTTTACACTTTCCGCGCCTAGGCATTGGATCCAATCGAGTAATTGACGAGAATCTCGTAAAATACTTTCAATAACATGATTATCAAACAGCTGAAAACAATTCCCCAAGAAAAATAATTAGGATATGCAAAAATATTACGAAGTGATAAAAAAAATCACGATACAAGTGTGAATTAAATGAAACACGAAAAGCCCAGTCGATTAAAGTGTCCAGCAATATGAAGGTAAACATCGATTGAAAAGACACGTTAACATAAAATATGGTAAACATGTAAACATATAGAAGCTAAGTATAATTCTAAATTAAAAATTCAAGAAACAGGGATACGTGGATATTAGGTTGACAAAATCTGAATAAAGTGATGTATCCGATTTTTAGATTTTGCTATTAAGTGTTGAAAACTTGGGACATAACTATAATGGAGTTTTAAAGTTGCCATGCTGTATGGATTACATATGCAGCTGACTGAAGCAGAATTAACTTAAAAGAAAGTTCATACACATAGTTCCCTTTATTATTTTAAAGAGAGCAAGAACAAAGATTGGTGCAGAATAATATGAATTCATTTTATTTCGTTAGGTTCTCATCAGCTGCTTACAACCTAAATTATTTGAAATTCAGATTATTACAGATATTGACATATTTATACATAAGAGTGTGATTAAGGATCAATACATGTGTATCATGATGTAGCGAAGATTCAGATAGAGTTAATGAGCTCATAAAATGTTTGATTCGAATAAATAAATAAAGTTAGAGAGGGAAAGTTCTAGAACATTGAAATAGTGATTAGAACTCATGAAAATAGATTAATGGTAATAAAGAAAATATGAATTGAAATCAATCATTTATGTATGATGTAATTTAAAAGAGTTGGAGTAATGACGCAATAAATAAATAGAGAAATAAATGAATAAAAGGGATTATTGTTACCAGGGTAAAGAAAGATTTATTACTGTCTCTTTTTGTATACATAGATCTGGTTTTAAACGTTTGATTGCTATTGCTTCAGCAAATTTCAAAAGGTTGGAGTTTGATTGTTTGTTAATCACCTTGAAGGACTTCAGTATATCAACTTCATGTCCTGTATCAAGGAGATGTCTTGCGATGGCACTGTTGAATGCGTTCAATCCATTTAATCTTAAACTTTTCGGAATATGTTCTTTGAATCGGACGTAGGCTCTCCTTTCTGTTCTACCAATGTAACTGCTTTGGCAGGTACATGTAAATTTGTATACACAGTTGGTGGTAACATGAAAGGGATACCTGTCGACCTTTGATTGTGTCAAAGAACATGTTTTGGACAGGACAATCAATTTCGCTGCAGGATAAGTTCTTGTCAGTGCAGTTTTTAGTCTCATATTGATTGATCCTGTGACATCGTCACCTTTGAATTGAAGTTGAATAAAAATAGGCTTTTTATTTGCTGTAATTTCTTTCGGTTTTTTATCTTCACGTTTGCCATATTTCTCAATAAATTTCAGTGGGTATCCGTTATTCTTTAAACATTTTTTAACATTCATAACTTCCTCTTCTAGTGTATCGGAAGTACATATTCTTTCTGTTCTGTGAAACAGTGTTTTGACCAGTGCCTTTTTGTAACTGATTGGACAAAAGCTATTGAAATTGAGATAACTACCATTCCATGTGTCTTTCTTATAAACTGAACGTTGAACTGTACCATCCTTTCTTCTTTTCATCGCAATATCGAGAAAATGGAACTTGTTTTCTTTTTCATGTTCCATAGTGAAATGGATATTTGGATGGGCTTCGTTGAAAAACTCTAGCAGATTTATTGCATGTTGTTGATTATTACATACGATGAAGGTATCATCAACATACCTCGAATAATACGTCATTTCATCAATCGCTCGTTTGAGTTTGGTTCTTTCGAGGTTAGCCATGAAAATATCTGCTAGGACAGGACCTAACGGACTTCCCATCGCTACACCGTCGGTTTGTTTGTATATGATATCGTTGAACTGGAACTGAACATCTTTTGTACAAATGAGTAATAGTCGTTTGAATTCTGGTACTGGTAGAGGTAGGATGTCAGAATGTTGACAAATTATGTCTATGGTTTCAAGAAGTGGTATTTTTGTAAACAATGATGTTACATCAAAAGAAACCATAAACTTACCAGCAATATTTATGTGATTCATGCTGTCAGCAAATACAAATGAATCCTTTAGTGTATAGGTGGCTAATCGTTGACGCACTGGTTCTAACTTATCTGCCAACCATCGTGCAACTTTGTGGTATGGTGAATTGATCATTGACAAAATAGGTCTAAGAGGATAACCTTGTTTATGTATTTTCGGTAATCCATACATGTGGGGCGAACGAGACCCACGAGGTCGTAGATTATTGTAAGTAGAGTTATCGATCATCTTCTTTTTCAGATCTCTGAGTACTTTGGTGATTCTTTTCTCAATGGAATCAGTTAAGTCTTTGTTACTTTTTTCTAACTTGAATCTCATATGGTCATTCAAGATGTACTTCATCTTGTTTTGTTCATTAGAACAACACTTGAGCCTTTGTCTGACCGTAATATCATTATATCATCATTTCGTTTAATATTTCGAATCAAACATTTTATGAGCTCATTAACTCTATCTGAATCTTCGCTACATCATGATACACATATATTGATCCTTAATCACACTCTTATGTATAAATATGTCAATATCTGTAATAATCTGAATTTCAAATAATTTAGGTTGTAAGGAGCTGATGAGAACCTAACGAAATAAAATGAATTTATATTATTCTGCACCAATCTTTGTTCTTGCTCTCTTTAAAAGAAAGTATAAAAATGACAGACCATGACTAGTCAGCAAAGTTATAAACTGCTGGTTTGGTTAGAATAAGGTGTAAACCTAGTGATAAATCTTCAGAGTAACAAAAGTCAACTGTTCGAGACTCTAAATAAATATACCAATCATATGTGTTCCCATTATTCTCGTAGGACATTTCAATCGACTCCTTATTTTCTGTTCAGTTCCTTTTCATTCAATTTAATATGTTCTACATTTATTATTTATTTATTTCGTTATGAAATTTAAAACTTGTAGCCAATGTACTTTTTACAGTGTAATACATCTGACTGTTTGTCAATGCATCAGGTCCGTAAATTTGGCTGCAGCGTAAGTTTACAAAGAACTAGTTGATAAGATGAAAACAGACGCATCAATTAAGGAACATTGACTTATTTTGAAAAAGTATCCGGTTTAAAAACTTCATTCAATAATACGACGTACATCATTTTGATTGCATAGACTTTCCAATCTTCTAATAATACTAATGAGCAAATCAGTTGACTTGTCAACATTAACTGTAAAACAAAGAGATAGTAAACTTTTGGTTGGCAACGAATCATGAAAATCTACGACAAATATTCGGTAATGAAAAATGGGACTTAAAATAGGTATTATAGATGAAATGTTCAGTAGAAACAGGGATCAAGGACACACTGCCTTCAGATAAAACTACTTTCTTGTATCTAGTGATTCTCTAAAGAAAAGTTATTAACAACAGGAAGTAATCGTTGAGATATCAATAATCAATGTACCTCAAAGAGTAAAACTAAACAGCTTAAACACTTCTTTCGTTCATTAATGACTAGGCTTACAAAACAACAGACTGACCATTCTTTTTGTACTAGTGATTTCAGTGTTTATAACTATACATTCAGAATAACAGAAATCAGGTAAATATGTTATCAAAACGTTTACGTGTTCATGACTGATTGGTAGTTTTTCAACTAAATGGGCATCTGAAAATTCAGATACCTTTAACATATAACCACAATGATAAATCAAATCGGCTTACTTGATAATATTTTTTGACATTTAAAAGAACATTTTCCACATCGATTAACAAGAGACATACATAAATGATCCATTTTCCTTGCATAATAATGCAGCCTTACATGAGCATAATGAAGAGACTAAAATAGATTTGGAAGAAGATAGAACGATACAATCATTTCAAAATGTTAAATCAAAATAATATTAATTTTTTGTACAATGAGACAAGGAAATGTAGAAGAGAAATAAAAAGTACGCTGAATAATCATGAATAAGTAATAAAGATTGAATCTAAATAATCATATATTCAATCAGTTATATTTCTAGGACAATAGTAAAATAAATACGTAGTGCTTGAACACAAATTTAGTATCATGTATCATCCCAGCTCGGAAGCTATTTATGGGTGCACTGAGATTTGATAGCGAAAAATTTCCACACTGAACGGCGTCACAACGATTTAGTAGACACAATCAGAACAGTGAACACCAATATTCGTTTGGTTGTGTGAAAGTTGAATCAACAAAGATTACTTAAGAGAAGTATGACTATCAGTGAAGAATGTTTAGTCAGTAAGTCTACAAGATAAATATTGAAATTATCGCGGAAATAAATAGAAAGCGATTACGGGAAAGAGAAATTCAAGTTACAAGAGCAATTTTTACTGTCTCCGACTTGTATAAAGCAACAGAAAACTGAATAAACTATTTTAGATGTCTGTTACAGTTTCCACAGAACTAAAAACCCTTTGTGAAAGGAAACATTGCCACATATTCACAGTACTAATGATAATAAAATTATTGGCTTGTTGAATACTTCTCCATAAATCTCGAACATAGTCACTGAAAGACCACTGCTCTAGCTGGTAACTTACAGCTTAAGGACAAGATTTTTACAGAGTAAAATAGATGATTGAAGAGTTAAGCTATTCATGAATACAAAGCATAAGAGATAAACATTTCAACTAGGCGAAATCAAAAACAGACTCGGTAAAAATTAGATACTAAAATGAAAACAGTGAAATGAATTGATGGATTACATTGTCACGATTGACTAATAACTTACCTCTATAAATGTTTTCATATTATCCATTATGCCAGACTGATCAATTAAACCAATGTTATCAGCATGTGAAAGTTTTACTTGCTTATCAACCAATGATTGAGAATAAGGCATTGATGATAATGATAATGATCCATGTTGTTCTACATTGTTCAAAACATCTAATAGAGAATCTTCATTGGACAGATTTGAAGTGATCAATTTCTTTAATTCTACAGTTGTACTATGCAATTCAGGCAGCAGTTTGTTCAAGTTATGACATCGACTAATAGTTTTACAAGTATTTGTTAAATAAAAAAAATCTTTTTAGAAAAGGCAGTGAACTAATTAATTAAGAGTTACAATGAATAGTAATTTAAGCTAAGCAGTTAAATTTGATCAAAATTTTAAGAGAATGAAACTTTATCTTAATACATTAACTAAAGGAGGTCGCTAGAAATAGTATACAATTTGTGTTGTCAGTGGCTGACAATAAAAGAACGTACTAATCCATTATCGTCCTATTCAAAAAATTCCTACCTGCTCACAAAACCACAATATTTGTAAAATTTTCGATTCTGAGTCAGTCAGCTGCAACGTAGGACCAGGCACATGTATGCATCGGTCCAAGTTTCCATACCTCATCAACACAACAAGAGAGACACCGGATTCATAAAATTAGTTAATTCAGAGCTGGTAATATATGAAAGTCAGTCAGTCAGCTACAACGTAGGACCAGGCACATGTATGCATCGGCCCAGGTTGCCATACCTCGTTAGCACAGCAAGATGAACACCGGATTCATAGGAGTGGTTAGGTCAAAGTAATATATGAAAGAAAGATTGCATATAAAGATATAGTACAGGAAGAAAGAATTAGTTCGTAGAAAGAAAGATATGGAGCGAGTTTAATCTCTCAGTTTAAGGGAAGACAAAGAGTGTATACACCTACGCCATTGTGATCGGTTTTGAGCCATGTCACACAGATTCTCCAACCACTCCTTACGACAGTCACGCGGACCCCAAACAAGTAGTCTGCATCTACCAACATGGCTAAGACCAGGAGTTAGTGACTTCAAGCACTGATGCCACGTTTTGGTTTGGCCACCCCTAACTTTCTTCCAACCATTCCCAACAATAGTCAGCATTGCGCGTCGTAGTAATCGGTGTTCAGGCATACACAACACGTGGCCCAACCATCTCAGTAGATGAAGATTCACAACCTCATCAACTGATTTACCATCATTACCTAATACCCTGCGTCTAACCTCACGATTACTTACCCGGTGATCCCAGCAGACGCCAGCAATATTTCTAAGGCATTTGTGGTCAAATACTAGTAGCTTACGAGTGTCTTCTACTCTCAATGGCCATGTTTCGCCGCCGTAAATTAAAACAGAACGGACTGCCGCGCAGTATACTCGTCCTTTTATTGATAGACGGATATCTTGCCTCCGCCAAAGGTGACGTAAGTTGGCAAAAGCCAAACGAACTTTTCGAATCCGTGCTGAGATTTCGTCAGACACCAACCCATTAGGGCTGATCAAACTTCCAAGATAAGGGAAGTTGTCAACGCGTTCGACTACTTCACTCCCTATCCTTAGTTCAGGTGTTGACGCAGACCAGTCCTGAAGCAACAACTTGCATTTAGAGGGAGAGAAGCGCATCCCAAACATTCTGGCATTGTTGCTTAGTGCTACCAGAAGACTCTGCATTTTGTCAGCGTCTTCACCAAACAGGACTATGTCATCTGCATATTCTAAGTCGATAAGTGGACCTCCTGGTAGGAGATCAATACCCGAGAATTCAGTCGACGAGAATGTTATTTCCATCAATAGGTCTATGATGAAGTTAAACAAAAATGGAGAAAGTGGACAGCCTTGATGGACACCACTTGAGGTTGCAAAAGTAGATGACAATTCGCCATAAGCTCTGACTCGACTGGTAGTGTTCGAGTAAAGAGCCTTCACAAGGTTTATGTACTTCTGAGGTACGCCTTTCAATGACAGACACTGCCACAGAATCTCGCGGTCTACCGAGTCAAATGCTGCTTTTAAGTCAAGAAAGACCACCATTGTCGGACGCCGATAAGTATGCCTGTGTTCTAGAATCTGACGAATGGTGAATATGTGGTCGATGCAGCCACGACCAGGTCTGAAGCCAGCTTGATTCTCTCGTGTTTGCAGTTCATGAGTCTTAGTTAGGCGTCTTATAATTATCGAGGCTAGTATTTTAGATACTATATTAGTTAAACTAATCCCTCTATGATTGTCACATGATGATTTTGACCCTCTTATATATTGCGACGATAAGTGATTGTGACCAGTCAGATAGAATAGCGTCCAACTCCCAGATCTTAGCTAAAATATTAGTCAACCTAATCGCTAAAATTGGACCACCATCCTTAAAGACTTCTGGAGCCAATCCATCTGGACCAGCTGCCCTTCCTCGTTTCAGATTAACTATAGCCTTTTGAACGAGTTTACGAGAATCCATCAGTGTGACAGACCTTGAAGAAATCCACTGGTTCTTTGTAACTCTGTGGTTTAACTCATTATTAGATGTCACTGCTGTTTCCACAGCTGTTTGTATGTCTTTCCAAGCAACATCTGGGTCAGCCTCGTCTTCAGAACTACCTAATTGCGACCTCAGTTGTTCCTGGAACCTACTTTTGGTTTTCTCGTTGCTCAACTAAGTTCTATTGGGTCTTTTTAATGTGGCTTCTTTGCGTCCAGTGAGGTGCAAGCAGATGCGTGCCCGTTTTATGGCGTGGTCGGAGTTCAAGCAGGTACTCCAGAACGAGCGACATAGCATGTATCAATGGTACGAGATTCTAGGGTTCTAACCATGGAAGCCTGTTGATCGATATGACATAGGGTGCGTACGTTGAAGGCTCCAATGTGTAGTTTGGAGAGAGGTTTCAGTAGACCTGAGACAGTGTTTTGGGCACTAGAATCGTTAGCTGTGTTGACACTTGTGGGGGAAGCCTAGAAAAGAAGTTTAGAGTTTGAAGTTGATGTAGGAGGAATAATAGGAATTGAAGAGAGAGATTGATTATGAATACAGTGGTCTTGAGTGCTGCTAGAGGTATGAGGGCGGTTATCACTTCCCGGTTACCCACACTGTGGATGGGTTCTTCTGGAGGTGCCTGAAAAGGAAATTGGATTGGAGGTGGTCTTACTGACCTGAGAGCGTGACCGCAGTGCCCAAGGGACAACTGCTTGAGGTCGGTCACACACGACCTTTTATGGGTAATTTTTGTGTTAGCTCCGTACTTGTTGAGACCTTACCACCGGAGACGGATATCCATGAGATAAGGCGAGGTGTGCATTTTTAGGGTCGACCTATTCTAACCCCACCCCTATTTGTGAGAAGGCAGTATCGCTGTCATGTTGGTTGTCTGAAGGAAAAACCTTACTGCTGTCACACCTCTGCACAGTCAGCAGTACGACTTCGCCTTTGAACCTTGGGTTTGTTGTTTTTAGTCTTACCGCTCTTCAAGTGACCTGTCTGACATGGCAGGACCTTGAGGAACGGTTGTTCCAGCCAGTATAGCTCGGTTGCTTCATCACGATAGGCAAGCCCGACCACCACGTCAAGGTAACGACAACGGTCGGGAAAAGTGCCCATAGCACGAGGCCTCGCCAATTCTGAAGAAGTCAATTATCATTTACCAGTGTTACGGTAACAAAAAATAGAAGCATTATGTAGCACGAATGAATTTATTCATGAACGTTCATGAATGCATGAACATATTAGCTATCGCTTTCCCAAAAATTGTTAGTTTATAATTCCTTTACAGTCTTTTGTGATATCAAAGAAATGTGGTTAAACAGAATCGATGAACTTTTGTGTAAGGTGCATTCATTTATCGATTCATTATCAAAAAATGAACTCATCATTAAATATTTTATATGGAAAGATTTTTAAGAAAGTCACGCTTATGTAAATTAGATAGTGTATTGTATGTATCAAGTTCAGTTGGAATAATTACAGCAAACATGAGGATATAAAAACATGTTAATGAGTGCACTGAGTTTAATCACAGGATTCGTAGAATTTGTTGATGGAATAAGAACAACTAGTGTAATCAGGTTTTAATTTAAGAGGTTAATAAATTACTACATTTCCTAACTTTTGGATATCAGCTTACATCCTGAAAATTATTAATATATTGTAACAATTCAGTATAAGACATACTTGCAATCCTCATTGCGAAATGTGGCTGCCAACTCCTCGTTATTTATTGGTGAAACAGGATCGTGAGTATTATCCATTGAAACAGAATCATAAGAAACAGTATAATCTGCTAATTGGTCCAAAAGATTTTCGGTCGAATCATTCCTTGGTGTAGCAGGACAACGTAATAAGGAGGCTGTTATAGAGCTATGGACTCCGTTTGATTGATCTGCATTTACTTGGTCAAATGATTCCAATTGACATTCACAACCTCGACGTTGTTCTGGTTCCGATAATAGCCTAATTTAAATTAATAATTTTTGGAAAATACTAGATTGAAGATAGTTTTCTTGCAGCGAACTGAAACATATGATAGTTACATGATGGTTAGACATTCATCACAAAAGTGTTAACTATTACTTCTAATCAACAAATAGATCTTTGACTGACATCAATTTAAGACTAAAACCTATTTAACTGAAGTACACATAGGAAGATCACGAAGTGTTACAATATTATTATATGGTATTTTCAGTACAAATCAATTTATTAGCTAGAGATTAACATAAATATGGAGCTTAGAAAAGTTCACACAGAGTAAAGAACAACAAGTTATCACTTCATTTAAATATTTCTCATTTTTAGGCAGGATATGTAGTTGACTTATGGCAAAATTCGATTACAGTCAGACTATAGAACTACGAAGCCAAGAGAAAACTAACATTACTCGACTACGAAACGCTACATCATGTGTGAATGTGAATTCCCGGAAAAGTGATATTTTGTTGGTATATGATCGTTTAAAAATCGTAAATAAGTAACTAACATTTAATGAATGAGGATGCAAAAAATTAACCGCGAAAATAACTATGAAATCAAATATATATATAATAAGGATAATTAAGACTGGCTGTTGTTTTTTATTCAATAAAACACTTTCTACTGAACAATGAAGAAATTGCTTAGTGCTTTCGTAAGCCAATAAATAAGATATATCAAGAATACATTTCAACAATAAAACTCCTATTTAAGATATTTAACATTTAAAAGACATCTATAGTGTCTGAATATGGTTCAGTTATGCATTGAAGTAGATACAGTGGACATTATACCGCAGAAAGTTGGCAATAAAGCACGAAAACAATTCAACTACAGCTTTTACTCTGAAGTATTAATGATGTACTAAGTGGTAATTCTTATTCCAATGATCAATTAATTAGACAATGGGTTGAAATGTCGTAATTTGTATTCTCCAAGGATAGTGCTACAGCCACCTTAACAATATCATTTAGATAGACAAACTGAAATAATTTTGGATGGATGTACGAGAGTAGCAATAAAATAATAAGTTGAAATATTGATAGTGTAGGGGTGTGCTACTTATGTCGTCAGACACAAGTAGTATGTAACACGAGTCCAAAGTTGATCAACCGGCAGCGGAAGGTTAAGAATATAGAATCGAAGAGAACGGGAACAGAAGGTAATTGCAATAGCAATGAAGGAACGATGAAGATTGACGATGAAAATCACGGTGAGACAGGATAGTTGTATGTAAAATAGGCGCAACAGGTGACAATGAATCTGAGACTAAAGTACCTTAAGACATCATTAGCAAATAATTTTGAGAGTTCTTGCTTCTATGTACTGAAATTCAACAACATATTCAAAATCCGTATGCTCCAACATTTATCCGACCCTCATTGGTTTATATATCTTACTATTTTATTTTGTTGTTTTTCACCATTAACCACGAACTATCTATACGGACGAATTGTTAAGAAATATTCACTTTCACATACAAAAAAACTATTCTCAGTTTAGGGGTTGCGGAGATTGTTGACTTTTTGATTGAGATCGTGATCCGATTGATGTTAGACCACCATTCGAAACCTGGAAGCACTGGACGACCGTTTCGTTCTATTGTGGGACTCCTCAGCAGTGCGCATCCACGATCCCGCTTGCGGGATTCGAACCAAGGGCCTTCAGTCTCGCGCGCAAACGCTTGACCTACTGGACCACTGAGTCGGTATCTAATGGTGTTAATGTCTAACACTAACCAATCCACGAAATTGCGCGACAATCTTCTTCTGGATACAGTCAGATGATTAATAAACTAATGAAATGAGCAAATCATGTGTTCAGTATCTATTTTATGACGCTTTCTTGTGACTTTACAATGAGATATTAACCAGTATGCAAAACCCAACCTGTTTGTGAAATAATATTTAACGCCAAGTAATGCATGACTATATATAAACAGAAAATACTAAAAAATAACAGTGAAATGCCTACCGAGCCGATGAATCATTAATTTGGACACTTGCAGCATTCACCTTAGATAAGCAGGCTTTCAAACGTGCAACATCATTTTCTAAATCTCTGATTCTTTGATTCTTTCGAAGGACCTCAAATATAAATTAGTTGGATAATATGTTGTAGTCATATGTGAGTTTTCAAATAAAGAATAGACATGGTTAGAACATCATTACGACTAATTTGTGTACATAGCCTATATATATATATATATATAACGTGGATCGGCTTGATCCCTTCTAGACGTCTCTAGGAAATAATACAATAATTAAGCGGTTAACTCAATAAATATGATCATAGTGTAGAAAAATGTCTATCAATTCGTTTAAAATAGATCAGTTAGTCGACACCATGAGCATCGACTGCTTGTTAACAAGATTCAGGATATGACATCTAAAATAATTAACATACTTCCTATCTAATGAACATTTTGTGATTTTAAAATTTACTTACATCTTTATGGATGTATTTCGACAACAGGTTTATGGTGAAAGGGACATCCTGAAGCCTAGAATTTCTGGATAACCATATTTGATTATATGATCAAGTAGAAGTACGCCTGAAGCAGTATACTTCTAGGTTATCGAAAATTTGGTCCACATTACTTTATCAAGATCTTTAATTTTAACAATATGTTATGGTTAAACCTAAACTGATTTCTAAGGAATTCAGTATAAAAGTTCGCGTTGTATTTACCTTTGAGTTGATATCGCATTTTATTTCCCCATCTTTTCTAAAGTATGTGTCATTAAATGTTTCATTTTTTAATCCAAACACGAATTATCTAATATAACCTGCTTGAAATACACTAGGATTTATTGTCTTGTAACATGCTGAATGGCCTTTACGGAGGATTGAATGCACAGTAAGACTAGTGCAAGCTAACTATATTACTTATGAATAGTTGATATTGAATTAGACAATTTTCTTGCTTAAAAATACTTAACGAAAACATCCTGACACTATCCGACATTGTGTGAGTTTATTCAAGAGACACTAATTAATAAAAATAATAGTAATAATAATGATAATAACAATAATAATAATATTATTATTAACTTTCTTATGAATTCACTTAAATATAGACAGGAAATAAGCTGAGTGGTTTCAGCCTACACTATCTCCCAGTGGCATATTATGTACAGTGGCAGGTAACTTCAACTTGAAAGGACAGTGAGGGATATTAAGATGTGTGTTTATTTATAACAGTATTAAACAAAACACCACTAACCTCATTGACAGGAAATCGGAATTACGCTTTCACATATCAAGTTTTTGACATCTATTGGACCACTTAAAACAAAACAAAACTTCCAACTGAGTTACCACAAACTCCCAACCGTTGCTGCTACCTTGACGTGGTGGTCGGGCTTGCCTATGGTGATGAAGCAACCGAGCTATACTGGCTGGAACAACCGTTCCTCAAGGTCCTGCCATGTCAGACAGGTCACTTGAAGAGCGGTAAGACTAAAAACAACAAACCCAAGGTTCAAAGGCGAAGTCGTACTGCTGACTGTGCAGAGGTGTGACAGCAGTAAGGTTTTTCCTTCAGACAACCAACATGACAGCAATACTGCCTTCTCACAAATAGGGGTGGGGTTAGAATAGGTCGACCCTAAAAATGCACACCTCGCCTTATCTCATGGATATCCGTCTCCGGTGGTAAGGTCTCAACAAGTACGGAGCTAACACAAAAATTACCCATAAAAAGGTCGTGTGTGACCGACCTCAAGCAGTTGTCCCTTGGGCACTGCGGTCACGCTCTCAGGTCAGTAAGACCACCTCCAATCCAATTTCCTTTTCAGGCACCTCCAGAAGAACCCATCCACAGTGTGGGTAACCGGGAAGTGATAACCGTCTTCATACTTCTAACAACACTCAAGATAACTGACTGAGTAACACAAACTAATAATTCTGATCTCTATTGATTTTAGTGGAGCAGTTTAAGTAACTGAATAGTACAGTCGGATATATCCATTATTACATGTGAACATCAAATAATGATAAACGTATCATACAGCTCCATAATTCACGTGTTAGGAACCTTGCTGTTGGTCAAGCGAATAATAAGTGACGTTGATGAAACATAAATTTTCTGGAGTCCTCATATTCTTCAGTAAAATGATAAACTCAAGCTGATATGAAAAAACTCAAGTTTTAGATTGTATAAAATTCGCATCTGGTTCCAGGGTAATTTTACTAATCGGTTTCATAACCCAAGCCTTATATGAATAAACTAGATCGAGTAAATGAACATACCTAAGCACAACACTAGTAAGCTCAAAGTTTCAGTCAGTTAGTAAGTCATAGTTAACAAAAAGCCTGAAAACGCGTCCAATACTTCAAGATGCCATATCGAGTCAGTACGATGAGATGAAATCAACACGATGAATAGCAAGAGTCGAAATGATAGTAGCATCAATGATAGTGAGAAAGAGTAAACACAGGGGAATACTTTTCGAGCAGAAAGAATGAATTCGAGGAATAAAAAGTACGAAATAATATTGGGACTAAATATCTACGAGATAAAGCTTGAATGTATCTGCTGCACTGTGAAAGATTCTTAATCATGACGTATATCAGTCTGGGATCTTGGAAAGAAGACAATCCAAAACATGCTAACGCAGTTACTCAAAGTTTCATGAAACCCAGTTTTCACCAAACAGAATTATACTTCTGTATATTCTATGTTGATGAACTCATAGTTTAAGGTAGACCTTTTACCCCTCCATTATGCATAAGACGTCAGAAAAAACATGAGGACAGTTTCCAGGCATTCAGCTTAATTGTAGTTATCAGTATGTTCACAAGGAAATAAAGCAATGCCTGTTGAAGATCAACTAAAGTATATCTGTACAAAATTTTTAAAACAACACGAGAGATTTGATACACAGATACATATATAAACATACTTTTTGACGTAAATCCTTAAGTTCTTCAAGAACACCTCCCGCTCGTTCTTTATCTTGTTGTATGACACCACGAAGCCTTTCTATTTCTTTTAAGGCAGTTCCGAATTTTCTACAAAGACAAAGACAATCAATGTAGCATATAACAATGTTTCAGTATGTTTATTAAGCATGGTTTCAACCATTTTTGTGACATTTCAGATGAAATAACAAATATTTTAAGAAACTCATAGATGTAAAGATAGTAATCGATCGGCAAGATTTAAATATCAAAATCAAGCGACTACTCAACAAACAATGTTAGCAAGTGAGGACACTACAGTACAATAAACAGTTTATCTTAATTACGTATTCAAAAATAAAGCATATTTGCCAAAAAATTCTATAATTCTGAAGAATACCAAACTAAGACGTAACAGCTGTTTGTAACATCCTAGTTCATAATAATAACCGATCTAAAATTAAAAAAAACCATAAATTCAACAATCTCTAGAGCTCCCTATATTGATAGAGAAGAAAATGTAAGACAACGAAGAAACTAGCAGAGAAATTTTGTAAATCAGAACGACCACTTAAGGACAAAGAAGGAAATCCAACAACTGAGATTCAAAAACAGAGGAATAGGTGACCAGAACGCTTTGAGGAACTCTTGAATAGGCCAGCTCCATTGAATCCACCAAGCATCGAAGCAGCAGACATTCCTGTGGATGTCAGCCCACCAACGATCGAAGAAATCAGGATGTCCATAAGACAATCAGGAGTGGGAAAGCAACACGATGTGAAAACATACCAGCTGAAGCACTGAAGTCGCATATAGAAATAACTGCATATATGCCCCACGTTCTATTCACGAATATTTGGAAGAAGGAACTATTGTGACTTTAAGTCCGGCTAGTTATCACGTAATTTATTTGCCAATCAAAATACGACTTATTCACTCTTGTACTGTACTGAACCAATGACGTTCGACCAGTCTGATCAGCCGAACGTCCTTATTGGTCCTTTGCTCGCCTAGCCCTTCCAGTTGAGTCCAGAAGACCAATAGCAGCTTCCAGTATGCGAATCCTTTATTTCAGACATACTTGGTTTATATACCAGCCAAACAGACCGCATCGCACCATAAAATAGGAAATAACATTTATACAAAATAAGGCCAGAAAGTGGCTGAGAACGTGGGAGACTGTAATCAATAAACTGAACATAACTTATAAACAGTAAATTGTACAATAATAATCTATCGATCAAAATGAAGCACGTAATAAGATGAATATAAATATACACAAACTAGTTACTGAATAGTATACAATAAGAATATACAGATAATATTAGTCCACTAATAGTTCACAGAAGTTACTCGTGATTTACCTTCGCTAGTATATAACAGGAACAAGTGCCACTGACAGACTGGAAAGGATACCTCAGCAAGATACCAAAGAAAGGAGATCTGAGTAAGTGTGAGGACTACAGAGGTATCACACTGATATGGGTACCAGGAAAAGTTTTCAACAGAATGTTGTTTAACCGGATGAAAGATTCAGTTGACACCCAACTTCAAGATCAATAGGACGGATTCCGTAAACATTGTGTGCATAGACGTGCACAGACGAAATCGCGACACTACGGATCATTGTTGAGAAATGAATTGAATAGAATTTGTCACTATACATCATCAGCTTTCTTGACTATGAGGCGTTTGGCAGAGTGGATAGGAGAACTTTATGGAACCTTCTTCGACACTAGGAAGTGAATAGCTGAGAGAACCGCCAACGTAATACGCTGAAACGTCGTGCATAGAGGACAGCTGACAGATACATTCCAGGTGAGAACCAGGCTGCTTAATCTCCGTGAGTAGAGTAAGTAAGTATGCAATCGATATGCCGACACATCATAAACATATAAATAGCAATCACATGTTAAATGATCTACCAACATAAAATGTATAAAATGAAATATACTATATTAGTCGCTTACATCTGATACATTTCAAGTACTGGTTTTGATTGATAAAGTACTTTTTGTATTATTATTTAGTTATTAGTTGATGATAAGACAATTACAAATGAACGTGTAGATTAACAATAGATAACTTACTGTGTACGACTAATCAGCTGCTTTTTTATTTCGAATGCTGCACATTTTAATTCATTATATTTACGAATACTTGGTGTAGGTTTACCAACATCATTGATTTGAATATTATTCTGAGGCTCGACATTTACTTCATCAGATCCAGTTTCTTTAGTAAAACAATTTTTCAGTTTAATATCCTCTTCCCCGACAACGTCATCACTTATCAACGAAGAAGTATCAGGCATGTTTATAAACGATGTTTGTTCAATAACCCATTTCGCATTTTCTCTTTCTGTTTGTGTTGAATGTGTTTCACATTTCTTACTCGTAGCTTCATTCGATCCCAAAGACTTTTTGTATACATTAAAATGTGTACATAACTCTTCAATATCGTGTTTTAAGCAGACTGATTGTTTCATCAATGTACTTTCGACTAATTTCTTAATAAAATCATATTCTTGTTCGTATTCAGTAACTTTTGATTGAGTTTTAGAAAGATCTTCTTCAGCTGACTTAATTTGCGTAACAATTGATTCGTAATCTTCAATTGGTACATGTGACTTAATAGTATCAGCTAATTCTGTTTCTAAACTTTCAACTCGACTTTTAGATATTTTTAGTTTATCATTAAGTTCATTTATAGTAGTTTCAAGATTTTCATATTTCCGAACTGTATCACATAGTGATTGTTGAATGACTAAATAGTTTTGTTCTAGATTTTCAAAGTTACATTGTTTCTCATTGAAAATACCAATAAACCAACTAATATAATCAGATAATGTACATAAATCTTCATTTTGAGGTGCTAATTCTTTGATCATATTTATAGCATTAATTTTATCTGCTTTTAATTGATCAATAGTTGATTTATAATTTGAGAAATCATTCTTGATTATTTTAATACATTCATCAAGTGTTTCTGGAATTGGGTAATTAACTGAATGAAGTATTGCTTGAAGCTCAGTAGTGAGAGAATTCGAATATTTTTTTTGATCATTTAATTTTATTGTTACATTATCAACTAGTACTTTCAAGGCAACAGATTCATTGAAAAGTAATAAAGGAGCTAAATTATCGCATGCATATTGAACATCAATTTTATATTCATTAATTTTTTCTAGTACTTGATGAAGTTCTTCTTTAAGTGAATCCATTTCATTTTCTAAAGATTGATAATCGTATAATGATACTGATTCACTTAGATATTTTTCCAGTTTAGTGATTGAATCTCGAGATTCAAGAAGCTCTGATGTGACAGTCTCAACCAGATCAATAACATTTGCAGATTCACTTTCAGAGTTAACTACAGTTTGAAGACGTTTGATAATTGTATAAATAATTGCAGCACTATTAGACAGTTCAGCGTTTCCGATGTCAACATTTTCATTATTTGAAGGTGCTGAAAGCACATTACGCAGACGACTGTATTGTTCCCTTAATTCATAATTTTTTTGTTGACATTGTGCTAATACTTTTGAAAGCTCTTCGGTTCGTGGATTTTCAAACACAACATACGGAGCCATTGATATAGAGCTATCAGGTTCAGTATGAAGAATTTCGCGAGAACTATGGTCACTTTGATTTAGTACTTCAGAAACCTTCATTTTATCACGTAAATCTGTAATGACCTTCTGGAAAAATTAAGGAACACCAATAATTACGTCGCATAAGTAGGTTTCCATAAAAAAATTTAAAACATACAAGTCATACAAGGAAACTGAGAGCATGTAAGCATTTCAAAGTAGAGTAAACATACGTCAAAACACTACAAAATACTGGTGCAAATGAGCACCAAAATAAACCACGATCGATTCTTTCAATCAAATGAGTTGCGCACAATTTTATGAAAAATGTGAAAGAAAACTACAGCGGCACTGCTAATAGCTTCTGTTCTGAGCCATGCCTGATAACACCTCAAGTCACTGAGCTTCAACGTCTCTCGGACCTCATCCAAGGTCGTGATAGACTAACAGATTTCTTTCATATAACGGCACCACGAACCACCTCTCCGTTTCTTCTAACTAGTCCCAGGGTCAAAAAATAATGCACGATGTTATTTAAAAATTATGACTTTAATGGAGTTATAGTCACGAAGAGTGAGTGGGGACACGGGATTCTGTCAGTCTTGTAAAGTTACTTAGTATTTAGAAGGTCATAAGAACATGGAATATCTGCAGACACTGACTCCCAACTGATTAAGTGTAATTGGTATAACTCTAGTATCATCTCACAGTAGGATAATATCATCCACATATTCAAGATCGAAGTCTTTCTCCAAGAAATGTATCCACACCACCATAACCACCTACTCCATCAGAACTGTTTACAGAATATTGTCAGAAAACCGAATCATGATTTGAATCTACTGTATGGAGGCCAATGATATTATACGGCCACCTAATGCTCATTAAATGATATTATAAAACAAAGGAAATTACCTGAGCTTGATTGTCAGATTAATAATAAATCACACCTCTACAAAAACTTGTAAAACGATAAATCATTCCGAAATTCCAATGATGTCTTGATTATTCATCTTATCAAATCATTGTAATACGAAGAGACGACAATTTAATATCAGTAGCCATATATCTTAAGCATGTACGACTAAGAGCAGTGGGTCCACTAATTAGGCAAAACTTCAAGTTAAATACACTTAAATCATTTATCTTATCTCTATAACATGATAGTTATCCTCCCATACAAAGTGTTGTTTTGTTATCTCTTTTCCAGAATACCATTATTTGTTACATTCTGTTCGTAGATGCCATCAAAATAACAAATAACCATTCCATTACAGTATAAATGATAGTTATTTTAACTACTGCGTAATTAAATTTATCGGTCAGAAAAACAGTATAAGTATGAATGGAAAATACATTCTAGTTTTTCGTATCTCAGTTACAAGTAACTAATTAACTCAAGTTTAAAGGATACATACATTACGTGAGAATCAAGAAAAAAAACAGGAAAAAAACACAAGATGCAACGAAGCATTGTTTTTTTAAACACACCTTTAGAGTGGTATTCTCCGCTTCCAAAGCAATAATCTTATTATTTAAGTCTCTTGCTTCACACAGTGACTTATCATCATTATTAGGGATATTCATCAACTGGATGGAAGATTCTTTAAGAGACCCATTCGTATCAATGTAGGATTGGTTGAGTGACTGTTCGCTGAGTATCTTAAGATTTTTCATATCATGTAACTTCGTTGAAATGCCCCTTTAGAGTTAATAAATCAATAAATACAAAAATTATTTTCTGTACAACATAAAGCCAAATGATGAAATTCTCTATTCCATTCCAGTCAAATAAGAAAGGTGTAGTAATAATGGTTAAAAATCGATATAATAAAAATTGCAATTAGAACTAGTTCTGTAAAACTAAACTACAAAACTAGTGATATTTTAAACGTAAAAGGCAAGTTTACACAAGTTGTATTGTGACAAAAATTTTCATCATCGCTAAATGAGTTATTCTAAGAGCTCGGAAATGAAGGTTTGATCTTGTGGGTGCAACCTTAACGTAGTTTGGTCGGGGTTACCTATAGCAATGGCCTAATCAAGCTATGTCGACTTGACGAACTGTTCTATTAGGCCCTGACATGTGAGGCAGGTCGGTTGAGAAACGGTAAAACTGAAAACAGCTAACTCATGGTCCGAAATTGAAGTCGTACTGCTGATTGAGTCAGTCAGTCAGTCAGCAATCGTGTTCCCTTCAGGCAACCAGCAGCTGCAGAAATTCTACCTACTTCAATGGGAGGGGTTAGAAAAAGTCGGCCCAAAAATGTCACACCTCACCTTATCCCACTTCCGTTTCCAGTAACACGGAGCTGACGCGCTGTAAACTTCTTACAGCAAGTCTGTGTGTGGCCGGATTCAAGCAACTGTACCTTGGGCTGTGTGGTCACGCTCCCAAGTCTCTATGGGCAGTACTAATCCAGTTTTCGTTTCAGGTCCCTCAAAGAAGAAGTACCCTTCCACAATGTATTTGTCGCGAAAGAACTAAAAATCAGGTTCCAATACAATTACATGAGAGGTATTACAAACTCAAATCTGTTCAAAAAAATTCATATTATTTGCAGTATACCAGCGTGAGCATAATAAAATACTAATTACAAATAATGTAAAAAACCTATTACTTATCGACAAAAAAGAATTTATTCTGAAATCTCGATAACAATAGAGATTGCATTATCTATCCCTTTCGATTAACATTAAAAGTCAGTCAGTTCTGAAACAAAAAAAAAACGGAAAAAGGTAAATTACTTACATTGGATGACGCCATGCTGATCCATACAATTGGCTTAAACTAGCCTCTTCATTCTGACTCAGAAAACCTATTGGATCGAACAAAGGTAACTGACCACCATCGAAGCGAGCACTGCGATCAGCTGATTTTAAGATAATTTTATCAGCTTCCTTTGCATCAAGATCTACTGAGTCACCATCATCATCGGCTACTGAATCGTTAGGCCGATTTACATGAGCGTGAAATGAATCCATTTGACTAGTAAGTAGAACTGATAAATGTTTTTTTACATCTAAATCCCAAAATTCAGAACCAATATCTGAGCATTCTTCAATGGCATCACGTAGTCTTGACATCTAGGCGATAATATTTTTAAAAAAGGTTGGTATTGGCAAATGAATTTAGAAAAATAGAAAAGTGTAAAACACGATTATACTACTAACTGCACCAATAATTACTGAAGTGAAATTACTAATTATAGGCTGTTTAATGCGTTATTATTAAGGAAGCTCGAAGGACTATTTAGCAGTACGCCACCAAATGATTCATTCTGTTTTAAAAGTGACAGCGAATCAAATTCATAAAATTTTCAGCAGCCTAATAAATTCGAACCATTTTTAAATCAAATAAAAAATTTCCGAAGTAAAGATATTCTCAAACAGACTATCAAATGTTGTTTTTCTCGGATACAATTTTAAACCAAATAATTAATTATAGAATGAATAATGACAAAAATATGAATACATGTTGACAAAGATTTCTGGGTAAACAGTATAACTACAATCAAGAATTGTCTTCCAGATATATGATATCATTGGAATCTGATCCGATGACAATGTTATCCTATGAAAAAATCTCAAGTGAAATAAATAATTATTGAATATGAAAATAGAAATTTTAGTTATTGTAATGATATGATCCTAACTGAGTTTTTATATTAGAATGCTAAAATTCATTTAAGGATATGACTAACAAAAAAGACTTCTGATTTTATGTAAAACAATTACGGTTAGTTTACAGGATAAAAGCAATATTATTACAACATAATTATTGAAGTATGCCTTTTTTTAATGATATTTATTGAAACGATATGTAGTATCATAGAAGATCAGCTAATTAAAGTAATCTAAATTAATAGAAACATTTTGATGTATTGTATTGTACTTATTGTATAACATTTGAAAAATATAGTTTAGTGTGAAATCTATCTTATTTGGAAGAAAAGAAAAATGCAGAACGTATTTACTTGATGATTATTTACATTTACATTCTTACGGATATTTTAAACTGTAAATTTCCTAAGAGGTTTGGAAACTTTAGGCACTGAATTAATCTACTTTAAATTGAATAAACCCTTGGTTTTGATAGAACGTTTATAAAATTATTTTTATATTGTATAAGAAATTGTATTATTTTTCATTCCAATGATCTGAACATAAAATCAATACTAGGAAATGATATTTATCATGAACTAGGATAAGTAACATCTCTTAATAGTGAATTCATCAGTCAGTCAGTCAGCTACAACGTAGGACCAGGCACATATATGCATCGGTCCAGGTTGCCATACCTCATTAGCACAGCAAGATGAACACCGGATTCATAGGAGTGGTTAGGTCAAAGGTGGTAATATATAGGGGAAAGATTGCATATAAGGATACAGTACAGGAAGAAAGAATTAGTTAGAGTGAATTCATATATATACTTAATCAACTCGTTATTATATCAAAGCAAACTGATAAATAACTGCTTACTGCAATTAACAAGCGTTCAAATATGTCTTTATGCTCCCATTCAACCATAGTTAAATCTCCAGCATTTATTGGTTTCCTTGTCAATCTATTAAAAGTGACATCATGGATGTCCTCTGTGAAACTGTGAAATAATATTTCTGATTTTTTAACATTCTGTCCAGAAGTTTTGAAATCTTCACACATAGATGATGATTCAACAAAATTCTTCACTTGATTCTTAAGCTGTGATGCACCGAACAATTTTCTGCGTAAACTTATATTCTTTATTGCAGCTTTGTTCATAGCTTGATTTCTAGAAAGAGGTTTCGTAATATCGAGATAACTATGTTCTGTACTAGCACACTTTAAGTTAGTACTAACAGGAGATTTCGGACAACCAAAGCGTAATTCAGCAACAGTTTCATTCAATTCGGTCGATACAATAGATTCTGAAGTCGGATGATCATAAATACTTGACGCTACAGGATTATTGATGCTACTGCTCATATTTTCAAACAAAGTATTAAATCCACCATACGTAGCATTTGTTCGAGATACGCTCAATGGAATGATATTGGAAGATGGACGATCCAATCCACCAGAAGCTGAAATAGCCTTACGTAATGGAGAAACTTCGTGAGAGTGTTCGATATCCACAGCTGCTAAACTACGATTGATCATCTCTACAACTGAATGCTACTTGTAATGGAATAACAAGAAGAAAAGGGAGAAATATAAAAATGAAATTAATGGCCCATCTACGAGTGTAAATAAAACAAAGAAAACAATTACTATAGATCACTCGACAACATCAATGTAGATAAAAACTTACGTCACGAAAGAGGTAGAATTATTCTTTCATCAGAATTTAAAGCTGTTTGAAAAATCAAGTTGTTTTGCTTACCAGGTAAGATATGACAGATTTTCTGAATACAATACATTTTACATCACTCTGCATTCAATGCCCGAACCATGTTACAGCAATATCTTTCCTATCTTTTTACTTAATAAGTATGTACTCTTCACTGTAGCTTTAATAAATAATCAACTTTTATGATAAATGAACAAAAACAAAATTGGTGATGAATATATAAATCTAAATTATATAATCCAAATAATTGTACAATATATTTCTGTAAGGCTAACTGACAACTATAAAGCCAAGTGAATCAAGCCTTCCAACCGAAGTTTCGAATCATGATTCCACAATCAAATAAATGTGACACAAGTCTGTTGGGTAGCTAAATAGACTAAAAGTGAGTGAGTCATATGATAGTAATATGCAAAAATAAATACAAAACGAGAATACTAAGGAGTAGGATTATAGACATATCTATTGATGTCATACATTATTCATTCTAATTGACATAAAATGATAAGATCCTGGATGGTGTTCTATAGCTAAATCATACGATATGAGCTGGATACTGACTGATTTAGTACGATTAGTAAACAACGGAAAACTGGAATCCGATATCAAACTAACGAAAGGATTTCAGGGTGGAAAAAAATAACTAGCACAGCGTGCCATAATTAGGTTAAAAATGGTTTTCGCTCATGAAGTGAATTTGAACGTTTGGGCTCTACTATATCTATAGTTAGCTAACTAGAAATATTTGGACATTTAACCAAAAACTGGTAAACATTTGACAGAAAAACGTCATTTGCGAGTAGATGCTGTAAAACAGACAAAAAGACATACGTTATGTTGACCCACAAGGTAGATTGTAATAATATTGGAATACTTACCTGAGTAAAACGAACATCATTCAACCTTAACATTAAATCATGTATCAAGTCATATAGGTTGCGTAAGCGACTTATTGAACCTGTCGCCTCATTATCAGTGGTACAATTTGTATGTGGTGTGCACATAACATTCGATTCATTATTGTTATCCACATTCACAGTTTCAATACATTTTTGTTGACCTGAGATCTTCAACTGTAAATGAAATTCAAAAATTGGACACCATTTCGAAACAAAAATGTCGAAAATAATGGATAGCAAAGATATGAAAACAGACTAGAATGTATCAAAGAAGTGATAATTAATGAGACAAAACACAATGGAATCTAATGCAATATAAATTGGTTAACTTATTGGATACCTTAAATATCCTATCGTCCTTTGTATAATAAAATTTGATTCCGAAACCCCGGAAACTGAATAGATAAATGATAAGGACTCTCTTAATTAAATTACACAGTGTTTGAGACATTTTAATTGACATGGGGAGTTTTGAGAAAAACTGAACAATATAATAATTTCTGATTTTGTTACGCACAATTAAAATTCATAAATGGATTCACACATTGTTCCTTTTACAATCGATGTAAAATGAATAACTGTGACAAGGTAAATCAGAATAATTGCATAAGTCAACAACAAGTAGCGAAAAGACAATATTAGGTAAAATATAGCGAGACTTTAATTTATGGATGACCTTTGAATAATAATTGAAGTGGCCTTGAGAAATTTCAATTAATTACTATTGTCAAAATAAGACTAGCAATTAGTGTGAGAAATTAAAATCAGGAGCAAAAGTTAGAAATAAGTTTTAGGGATTCGACCAAGAACTGATATCAACTATGAAGCCAAAATGTTATTTAGCGATGTAGGTGAATGAACTTCGCGCCAAAATCCAAGCCCCTCTACCTTAAATCTGGTGGTTCGTCCATAAATTACAGTTCCATCAAAAATACTTTTCTGAGAAAAACGATGAGCATAGAATCTCAAGTAACTTTTACAAATTGATACTAGTGGACGAAATGAATTCACTTACCACCTTGTTTTTTTAAGATTGCATATTCATATAGTGATTCTGTTCGCTCTTATATTAAAGCATTCTCTTGATGGTGTTGAATTTCCTGAGCTAAATGGTTCAATTGAATCCGACTAAAATATAGATTTTTCTCCCTTATTTTAAAGCATTCTTTAATGTTCTTTTATACTTTATTATAATGAAGATTTACTGATATGAAACTTCACTAGGATGCATGAAAACTGTTCTCGTCAAGTTATTGTATCAACGTACCCAGTTAGCGACCAAGTTTAATTATGCTAACAAAAATACTGAAATTAAGATTAAGTCAACTACCTGATATAAAGAGGTGCTCTATGAAAAGAACTCTTTATTCTGTTAATGCCTTGTCTAAAACTTCAAGAAATGTGTATTCGCATTAGAGAATGGAAATTCTATCTCGAATGAAAAAAGGCCTTCCTCATGGTTCCAATTATAAATTTTAATTAAATTGTACATATAGAATTTGTTATTTTTTGAGTGATCCCTCGGTGGTTATAGCACCTTGCTCTTAATCGCTAGGTTACTGGTTTCAAACCCACCACAACTACTTCAGTTCAAGCAGCTGAGTACGATATCACTAGCTTTTACATTTAGAGTGAAGCTCGAAGTCAAGTAGATAGATCTCCACTCTGTAAATGAGCAGCATGTATTTTAAATTTATGATTAAAGTTATGGAAAACTACATATTTACATACTAACTAGAAAATTGTTCATATACTTCGCATTCAATGAAGCTTAATAAAGATCAGATTCTGAACATACTGCAAAATATAGTTTGGATAAAGTTACATATTAAATTAGTTTATAATAACAATTGAAATAAACAAGCAACATTTAAACAAAAGATTTACTGAATTTAGTTGATCCTGAAGATCTGTACATTCACGTTTAGTTCTTACAAATTGCTCTGTTAAATGATCTAAATCGAAGTGTAGTTTTTCACGAACAGACAACGATGTATCCAACTTTTCAATTAATTCATTGATTTGATTATTCAAGCGCTAAAAAATAATGGTAAGAAAGTAAAAAAGCGCTCATTTTTATTGTTAAAATATGAGCAAATCAACATTACAGTGTAAGGCAACTACTGATTAATATCGTTAAACTCTAACTGATTATTGGTACGGATATAATAAAGAAGCAATCGGAATACTGGAAAAACCCATATCCCCATTACTTTCAACGCTGTCAGACAAACGGAACATGGCTAGAA